AAATAATTTGCGTTAGGTGGAGGAAGAAAACATGCGATCAAGTTTGGAAGAAGTGATTTAATATTTATAATTATTGTACTGTACGTGTCACAGTTGTCATAGGTCCAAATTTTGAAGCGTCAATCGTTATACGTCGAGTGCTTTTGGTTGTTTTCTTTTATTTTAATTTAATATTTCGTTTTTGCAGCGTCTGTCGCATTCTTTTATTTACGAAACTGCCCCTACTCTCCTGGCGGGATCTACGTATGGTCACTTCCAATCATTTTCACCTTTTTTGGCCAAAGAAGCATTTTTACTATTTCAGGCTTCGCTTGCTCGTTTATTTACTGAAATATACCCTTCAAATTTATCTTCCCTGATTTGAATATTAAGATTCCTTATTGATTTACTCATTAGCTTATTTAATATTAACTCTGATCTTTTATATAAGAATTAGTTAATTAATTTATAAATATTAAAAAATTTAATTAAGATACTTATTTATAATAAATAAATATTATTTTTAAAAATGTCATTATTAGTTTTATGGATTTAAATTACTGACCGATAATAACTCATTAACATGTCCAATCAGTATAACAAGTAGTTGAAAACAAAATTGATAAATATTTTAAACAAAATAAATTAAAGTCTTGTATTTAAAATTAAATTCAATGTCCAAAATTAAAATTTTTAATTCCTTAAAAGGGGTTTTATTGCACGAAAAAAAAAACAAAAACAAAAATGCCAATCTCACAAACTCCAGTTTCACGTGATGAATAGGAAAAGCAAAGTTTGTGATAAATTTTAACCTTCAATTTTAACGGGGCTGCAATTTTGTCTTAAGTTTTTGATCAAATTCAACATAGCTCCTATGATTTTAAAACGGTCGAAACTCGACCACTGAAGTCCTTAAAATAGTAAAAAATTTTAAAAATAATTTTTCCATTTTATTTTTTATTGTCAGCCTCCCCGAAAGAATAACAATATTTTTATTTTAAGCTTCATTTTTAATGTAAAATTTCCTATTTTAAAAACAACATAAAATCCATGTTTTGAAAGGAATAATGTTAGTGCTCAATTTTTTGTTGTTGCTTTTGGTCAATTTATTGTCTTTGAAGTAGCCAAATCGGGTCTTGTTGCTCTTATTTCTTTCCTTTTGTTTTTTTTTAAAACATATGTGATATTAAATATTTTAAAAACAAACATGTGTGTTATTCTATTTGTGGCCTTTTAAGATTTATTTTATTCCTTTAACTTTATTTTGTTACATTTAACTTTTTAACTTTTAAAATATTTTTTTTATAAACATGTGTCTAGATAAAAAAAAACACAGAAGAGATGTGGTAAAATAGCTAGTTTTTTATTTTTAATAAAATTTGGTAAAATTGAAAAATTCAGTTTATGCTGTATTCGGGAAAAAATAGAGATGCTGAACCCACATTGACAGTTTCACGGGGCAAATCGAAAAAGTATAGTATGTGGTATTTTTTTTTTAAATTTCAGGCAGTGACTTTTGTTTTAGTTCTTCACTTTCATTGTCTGCCACCAAGAAAGAATAACAATATTTATATCAGCTTCGCGTGCAATAATTAATTAATAATTAAAAATATTCTCACTTTTTAATGGTAAATTTCCTATTTTAAAAGCCAACAAAAATCGATGTTTTGAAAGCAATAATGTTTAGTCCTAAAACAAAAATGCTTTTGGTTGATTGTCTTTGAAAGTAGTAGCCAAATTGGGGTATGTTGCTCTTATTTCTTTCTTTTGTTTTGTTAAACATGTGTGATATTTGATATTTTGAAGCAAATATATGTTGAATTTTATAATCAATATAATTGCTATGGATATTAAATTTCCATGAAAAAATAATTAACATATTTATTAAATTAATATAAAAATAAAATTTATTAGAATCAATCAATCAATCATCAATTATGTTCTTGAAAACTTGTAATACCGAATTCATTCAAAATGGATGAGATCGGTATGATATTATTGGATCCGAATATATTCAATTAATAAGATTTTAATAACATATTGATTAAAATTTGAATATATTAAATTAAATAAAAAATATTAAAATAAATAAAATTTCAATTGGAGGCTCAATTAAAGAAATTAATAATTAAGTTTGAATTTGAATAATATTTTAATTGAGATTTGAATATATTGCATTAAATGTGGAGCATCATAATTAAATAGTATGTCAATTGAAGGTTTAAATAGAGAAAAACCTAACAGCGATTCCCTTTTAATACGATTTGCCTTAACATAGAAGAAATCTATTGAAGAACATGACAATGGTGACAACAAAATGTTAATTTCAATTTGTCATCAAGAAAGAAAAGGAAAAAAGGAAAATTTATAGAAAAATGCCTCCTCACAAAATTTATTACAAAAAAAAAAAACCAAGAATTCAGGTCTTTGAATGTATGAAACTCATCTTCAGTTTTGATATGTAAATGTTTTTCATTTTATAAATAAGTGAAAATGGGTTACACACAAATGAAGAAAATGTTGCATTAGTTGAAAATATTAAATAATTTGCACTTGAATCTTAATAGAATTTCAATTTTCAAGTATATTTGGGCAATAAGTATTTTTTTTTGGGGTGAGATTTGGGCTATAAATTTTGCTCTTGGCAATTTTCCTATTAAAAAAAAAAGGAAAAAGAGGGAAAGGCGAAAAATATGGTTTGGGGGCATTCTCATTCTAGGTTTTATTTATTTATTTTAATTTAAGCAAATGTTGAGAATTTCCAAAAGCCTCGGTATAACGTCAAACGAAGTTAATGTCAAAATTAACAATTTCTTATTTTATTTTTTTTAATGTAACAGCCTTTCTAATATAGGGTGGGACACAGTGCCCCGTAACAAAAATTCAAGGGGTTACAACAAAACTTTTTAATTAAACTGTAATGACCAACGCCTATCTTATGATTCTCGTAATCATCGTCTAGATAACTCATCTCTTTGTCTTCAATATTACACATTTTTCATAGCGTAAGTTTCATACTAGTTTGAATAATATAAAGTGCGCATTATTCCTTAAAGTGTTGCAATTCTTTAAATTGAACTCTTTCTCTTTAAAATTGTCCTCCAAGTTAGATTTCCAATTCAATTTCCTATATATATTTTTTTAATTTTTATCTATCGGAAAGAACTCATAGGCCTGTTATATGCACAGAGATTTGAACTCGAGATCTTTCATTTAAGTTAAGACTTACCCCTAGTTGGATGGGGAGAAAAATAGAGAAGAGAGAAAATTAGGGAAAAAAAAAGAATGAGTTTTTCCTTACTTGAGTAGAAGAGAAAATATTAGAGTAGAAGAAAAAAAGGAGAAAAAATAAAATGAGTCTCATTTCTTTTCTTTTTTTTCAAATTTTCTCTCAATATATGGAGAGATTTGGAGAGTAAAATGAGATTTATGTGACTGTCCCTCATCTTGCACCTTCTTGAATTCTTACTCTCCATATTTATTTTCTTTTATTATATTTAAAAGATATTCACTTTTTATTTTTATCAAAAATATTTTTATCAAATAATTTGGTTTTAAAATATAATAATTTGAAAAAAAAATAAACCAAATAATTTGATTTTTAAATTATTTGATGATGATAATGCTAGTACAATGTCCCATTGCAACATTTAATTTGATTTAATTTTAAATATGATATATTTTGATAAAAATATTTTAGTAATTTAGATATTTGTTTTTTTTAATTTTTTCTCGTTTATCCATGTAAGAAGAATAATATCATTTTTTTTATTTTCTCTACTTTTTTTTTTTTTGTTTTTTAACTTTTTTCCGTATCTGAGCAGAAGGGTATTAAAGAATTAAAGAGGTGGTTGAATTTTTCGCCCATCAGCCCACTTAAATAAATACCAAAACTCTAGAGAAAAGGTCGGACCTAAAGAAGGGCAAAGATGTAATTTCGACCGACGGTGTTTGGCGTTATCTAACGTATTGCCATATGCGGTGACTCTGCGCCCACAGCGTAAGAGTAAAGCAAAAGTATTATTTAGTAAATCAAAAAACCGAGAGGGATATTTTGGTCTGAACGGAAAAATACCAGACACGGTATAATAGAGAGGCCTACCCTTAATCCTTTTATGTGGGGAACGTATGCCGAAGATCTCAGCGTTCGTTACTAAAATAGCTATCGCTCCTTTATTTTCACCCTCGCTTCCTCTTTCTCTCGTCCTTTTCCTCTGTGTTTCTCTGAAAAATCTGAGGCTCTGGGCCATCAACAGGAGGAAGAAAAGAAGAAGAAGAAACACAAGCGCCGTCAACATTATGTTGTGCTTTAGATCAAACCCGTCTTTTCTTTCTTCTCATTTTCACCTTCTTCTTCCTCTTTGTTGTTTCCGTCTCTGGAACCGCTCCTTCCAACCACTCTTGGCGTTTTCCAGGTAATTTTCTCTTGCCTTAATTCCTGTATATTTTTGTTCAAGATTGGGTTTTTTGATTGGTATTTGAGTTTTTTGCTTTTTGTTTTTCTAGAAGATGGTGTGGAAATTGTTGGTAGAAGTCAGTATCTGACGTGCTGCCATGGAAGACAAGGAGATTACTGGCCAATGAAACACGGGCAATAGTTCTCTCGTGTTGGCTCAGGACAGAACTCGCCGGAAAGATCCTCTGGACCACTTTAACCGCTACACTGGTGGTTGGAATATCAGCAACAAGCATTATTTGCCGTGAGTTCTTTTTCATTTCTTCTTCACTATCTCATCCTGCTTCTGGATTTTTTTCCCCACCACGTTTTCTGTTTCTAAAGTCAGTGAAGGGTTGATATTTGTCATCTCATCCTAGTTTTTATCGGAAAAACGGGGGTAGCTTCTTCTAAGAAATTGATGATAAGTTACGCTCCGGCCTGGGTATAATAATTTCATCTGGTAATCAGGAGTACTAGAGTTCCAGAGCCCCTACTGGTCATCTGGTTTTAATTTTATCTTTTTGTTTATCTTTATATTATCTAGGGTGTGAATATGCTTCACTGACTTCAATTTGTTCTTATCTTGGTGCAGTCAGTTGCTTTTACTGCGGTCCCCTTCTTCGTCGTTGCTGCAGTTTGGTTCGTGCTATTTGGGCTTAGCTTATTCATTATCTGTCTGTGTCGTTGCTGTTGTCCAAGAGAACCTTATGGTTATTCTCGAACAGCTTATGCTCTGTCCTTGATCTTCCTCATTTTCTTCACCCTGGCAGCAATGTATCTCTCTCTTCTGTTCTCACTTTCTTTGCGCTTAGAACAAATCTTATGTTGCACCATGTTCGAATTGACATTTTGTGACATCCTAAATTTATCTTTGTAATTATGCTAGAGCTGGATGTGTTGTCCTCTACACTGGTCAGGGGAAATTTCATGGCAGTTCGTCGGACACACTGGATTATGTTGTCAAGCAGGCTGACTTCACCGCTGAAAACCTCAGGAATGTGTCAGATTATCTCGATGCAGCTAAAAAGATTGGAGTTGATGCTATTTTTTTGCCATCGGATGTTCAGAAGAACATAGATGATGTTCAAACAAAAATCAGATCTGCTGCAACAACTCTTTCCAATGAGACCCGTGAAAATTCTAAAAACATACAAGACGGTTTTGATGCCATGTAAACACAATTTTGAATTTTGATATTACTACTAACTGGAATTGAAAGTAGCTTTTGCTAACATTCATCTGTTGTGTTCTCTGTAGGAGATTCACTCTTATTGTTATTGCAGCTGTTATGCTCTTTCTTGCATTTCTTGGGTTCAGTAAGTTTTTCCTGTTTTTTACTTTTAATGTTTTGTCATAATGTTTTTTCATAAACCTTATCTCATATTCTTGTGTTTTTGTTCTTCAACTATTTTGCAGTATTTTCCATCTTTGGGCTGCAGTGTCTTGTATACTTGTAAGTCGTATTGATTAAACTATCTTCTGTATTTTCCCCCTTCTGGCTTGCTTATTCCTTTACCGTTCACGGCTGTGTGATTGATTATAGCTGTCCAGTTGGTTAATGATACGTCTTTTATGGCTGCAGTTTGGTGATTGTTGGATGGGTTCTTGTTGCTGGAACATTTATTGTGTGTGGTGTATTTCTCTTTCTTCACAAGTAAGTTTCCATTTGCTTACCATCACGTCGTTGTGGATGTACTCCTTTGTCAAAGTTATCATGAGCTAGTTCAATTTTCATCTTGGGACAAACATTTTGGGGGTCTTAGTTCCATGTTTTTGTAGTTTGAAACGTAGCACTGTTGATTTGTAGAATTTGGGGGACCTTACAGGAGAATTATTTAATACTCTTGATATAGAAGGCAGCATAGAGCTTTGCAATAGGGCAGATTCTACGAGTAAAATTTAACGCCACCGGACAATATGTTGCATTTATGATATAACTGAAATTAAAGTAGGAAGTTAATAACTTTACGTTCAACATTATCAAAATTTCTGAATGAAAATTGGGAGTCTATTGTTGGACATGCTGTTTGAACAGCTTGTTTTATGGTCAGTATTATTTAAACTTCAACTTCTAGACAGATTAGTTGAGCTACAGTCCTATTGCTATTAAATCACCATTTATTAACTTTGATAGGATCTGGAAGTTTCTCGTCACAGTCCTCGAATAAATGTTCTATGCTTTTGGAAATGAATTGTTGAGAATGAGAGCAGACTCCAGTCTTGTTGCCATACTGATTGGTCCTTTTGTCTTTTAAATTTAGTGAAAACCTCCACGAAGAAAGAATAAGCCTATATTTTTTAGGCTTTTTCCTGGAAGGAAACTATTCAAACTAATGTTCTCTGGTCTGATACAGTGAACTGCATCTCCTTATAGCATTCAACTTGTGCTTAGACTAGTCATGCCAATCGTGTTTCTATCCTTTGTAACAAACGTCACCTATGCTGCTTTGTGTAGACAATGAAGATCTGTATCAGTCTTGTTAATTCATGCTGCTTTGTATTCAAACGTAGAAAACTTATCTTCCATATGAATGGATGGAACAAAAACGTAGATAATAATAATAATAATTTTTTTTTTTTTGGGGGAAGCTAACGGGTAGTCACTAATAATTGTGTAAGTTACTGCCAAAGACACATTTCGAGTGCTTTTTAATATCATTTGATGAGTTACAAATTTGATACGTCACCTATGCTACAATAAATAATATGAAGACTTACTGTGTTGGCATATTTGCTCAGTGCGGTTGCAGATACTTGTGTTGCCATGGATGAGTGGGTGCAGAACCCTACTGCTCGTACAGCCTTGGATGATATTCTTCCTTGTGTGGATAATGCTACTGCACAGGAAACCTTGACTCGATCCAAGGATGTGACATTCCAAATCGGCAAGATAATTGACAACGTCGTCGCCAATATCACTAACCGGAACTTCCCACCTAGCGCGGGACCTTTGTACTACAATCAGTCTGGTCCCCGCATGCCATCGCTTTGCAATCCATTCAATCCTGATCTCACAGATAGGCAGTGTGCAGCTGGGCAAGTGGCTTTGGACAATGCCACTGAGGTAAAAACCATTTTTAAGATTTTCAAATGAGATTTATATGTAGCGAATATTAGAAGGACAAAATTCACAATTCATATATGCTGCGCTCAGCAAAAAAATGTTTAATACAGAACACTTTTATAACTCATAACCACATGATCATATCCTTCAGAAATGTTACCCATTTTTCTCCGACATGAGCACAAAAAGTTGTCTCATTTAAATTCTGTGTCAAACAGGTATGGAAGAATTATACCTGTCAGGTTTCAGCCTCTGGCATATGCAACACACCGGGCCGTATGACTCCAACAATATATGGTCAAATGGCAGCTGCGGTGAACGTGAGCTACGGTCTGTATCATTACGGACCATTCTTGGTAGATCTCGAAGATTGCACTGTTGTCCGGAACACATTCTCAGACATCAGTGGCCGGTATTGCCCAGGTCTCAGAAGATACACCCAGTGGATCTACCTCGGATTGCTCATCGTATCCCTCGCAGTGATGCTTTCTTTGATCTTCTGGGTTATCTACGCCAGAGAGAGGAGGCATCGTGTGTACACCAAAAATCTCTTGACAGAAGATAAAGCCCCTTGAAGACATCATCCGGCATTATTAATGTTGTGGGGAAGACCATGATGGTGTTCATATGAGTTTGATGCTGTGCAGATTTTTGATTCACTTATGTTGATTATTGGTATTTGTTGTTTGTATTGAAGAGGTGTTTAAATCCCCTGGTAGTATAAGTAATATATAGGAAGTGGTACTTGTGGTAGTGTATTTATTATTGTGTAACTTTCATTTGTGTATGTATGAATGAGCACTTAGAGAAAGCTTTGGCTTCGGCACTTGTTAACGTGAATTTTGGATCTTAGTTATGTGCTCTCGGATTGGTTCTTTGAACGTTTCAAAGTTCTGGGGATAAGATCTTAAAAAAAGGATTTGAAAACTTATCACGCACGCATGAAAAAAATATTTATGGTGTAAAATCTAAATTGCCCATATTTATAACACTGGTTTTTATTAAATTTTTACCAAGGGAATAATGTGGATAAATTTTTCTTCTCTTAGAAAATATGTATAGCTATTGATCTTTTTAACCGTGCGAATATGGCTGTTTTTATCAAGTTTAATATACTTTTTATGATGAATTATTTGGTAGTTGATCTTCTTTGGCTAATTAGATTTGAGTTGAGTTTTTTTTTATTTTTTTTTTGGGCCAGAAGCTTTGAGTTGAGTTGAGCTAAAGATTTTCTAACGTGATTTTTTTATACCTTTTCAAGGGTATTTGGATAGAACCAAATTATAATTTGGACAATAGTTTCTGGGAGAAAAGTGATTTTTGAAAATACATTTTGAAAGAATAAATTTTCTGAAAAAATGACTCTGATAAATTGAGAGTTTTTAGATAATTGTTGTCAAAAGTACTTTTTATATGTAAAAATTACTAAAAAGGATATAAGTTTAAATGATAATTAAATAAAATATATTTTATAATATATGTTTATTTGAAGTAATAAATTTGTTAATAATATATATTTTGTCAACATAATAAATAAGACATAAATAATGTAAATAATAAATAATTAATGTGCATATATATATTTATAAAATAATTAAACATGTTTCCAAGAAAATGATTTATTTTGCCAATAAAAAATATTATTATTTCTTAAAGATTTTCAACAAGAAATCCCATAATTTTTTTCACAAAATTAAATAACCACAAAAAATTCCATATCAATTGTCTTAATAATAGAGGCTGCAACGAATTATATTTGTCCAAATAGTTTTTTTTAACAACACATTACATTATCTGGAAAAAAAAAGAAATAAAAAGGACATGACTATTCTTCTATATAGTGAACAATTTGATCTTTTATGGAGTCATGAAGTTGAGCTATGTGAGATGAAGATTCTATTGATGAAGGTATATGTGAAGATCTAACTCCATCATTATCATTATTTTCTTCTGCATAAGAACCTTCCTGTTCAAACTAAATGAAACCAGGATCAGAAATGGATGTTGATCTAATGAAGTTATGTATAGCCATCGTTGCATATACAATTTGAACCTGTGTTGGAAAGTCATAGTTCGGCATGTTTCCTAAAATTGCAAACTTACTCTTCCAAACTCCAACAGTTCTTTCAATAGTGCTCTGTAGACTTGAGTGCAAATAATTGAACACCTCATTCTCATTTTCAAGTATAGATGACCTTTGAAAATTAGGGAGATGATAGCGTTCACGTTTGTAGGGACCAAGATATCTCATGGGTGTCGGATAGCCAGCATCCACTAAATAATATTTACCTAAATGAAATATATGATTAGTGTCAATAAACTTTGTTTTGTAACAGTTAAGCATAAATAAATTGTAGCAATTTAAAATATACGTTGAGGCGGATGAGGAAAGTTTATGGAAGGAGTTGTGAGGGTGTGGTCAAATATACGAGCATCATGTGCACTACCTTCCCATCCGGCCAATACAAAAGTGAAGCACATGTCCCAATCGCAAACCGCCATTACGTTTTGCGTCACTGTTCCTTTTCGGTTAATATATTTTGTTTGCTCTGTTGCATTAACAATGCATGAAATATGTGTTCCATCAATTGCTCTAATAGCATGTTTGAAAAAGGGTCAGTATTGACCACCTGGCCATATTTTTGTATGAAAATGCTGAAAAGGTGGATCTTTTGGTTTGATATTGGACATAGTAAGTTTACAGCATGCTAGTAAGACATTATGAAAATGTCTACTAATTATCTTTCTTGAATGCTGAAATCTTTCTTGCTACATCCTACTACTAAGCGCATGGCCAACGGTATTTAAAAACATCGCAACCATTTCATGTATCCCAACATTTCTAGTTTCCCTTAGATTGTGTTGTTGCAATTTTATACAAAAACTGAAGAGCACTTCCCTTTCCATCCTAAACATATTATAACAACGGGTGAGATGGCCTTATAAAATGTCTCTTACCCATGTCGTGCCTGTATAAATACTTGTATGCTGCGACTCTTTACGCAAATGAAGAGAATCGTATCCACCAGCCACTGCTACAACTTGATTAACTGTTTGTTCCTTCGTTTATGATACTCTTCCGCAATTTTAATTTCATCAGCCATTTTTTGTCTTATCTTGTGCACATAGACATAAAATTCAGAAACCTTGATATAAAATTACTAAAATTAAATAAGGAAGTAAGTTGTTTAATTCCTACAAAAATTTAATAGTCACATATATGCAAATTATCATAGTCATCTTCTAAGCAACACAAATAGTAGTCAAATACTGTGATAAGCAACACAAATGAAGTCTTAATCCTTAGTTGCTTCCTTCAAGAAGATGTGAAGTTTCTCCCTCTTATTCTTCAGAGCCATATACATTTCCCTTGCAGTTGGCTCCTTCATAAGGAGTGTTGTGCACCAGCCAAACAGATCAAGATCATCAACAACTTCATCAACTTCATTAAGTTGCTCCATGACTCCCGCAATTGACGTCTCATAAGCACATGCTTCTTCTTCTAGCCTCCTAGCATGTGCTTCTGAAATTTCTTCATGTTCACACTAAGAATCAATTTCATTTGCTTGAGCTATCCTGCTTAGTGCATCTGCTATTTTCATAGTGGAAGTGGGTTTCTTCTTTATGGATTCACCTTTTTTTCTAACCCCTAATGAGCTATTAGGTCGACCCCCACCTGTGCTTCTACCCCCACAAATGGTTTCCTGTCTTATCACAGTGTTGCCTCCACTATTGTCATTGAATGTGACCAAATTAAACTCCCCGCTTATGCCAATTGATACCTCCAAAACTTCATCACTATCTCCAGACCCTTCTTCTATATCATCTTCAGGTACTCCTTCACTTGGAAGTGTCATGGAAGAAGGTGCCCATGACTGTGGTCTAGTTGCAACTATAGTCCCAAATAGTTGAGTCAATTCAGCTCGAAATTGAAGCCTTTTTTCTCTAAATTTCTCGTAGACTGGAACTTCCTGCACATTCAACACCAAAAATATTATACGTTATACAAAAAACGTTAACATGGGAGAAAATGCAAGCTCAAATAAAGTTAAATGATTACCACTAATTTCTTCTCCCACCAATTATCAGGGGCACTAACAATATTCTTTTCGGCATCCCACCCCAAACCTGTCTCACGAAGCAGTCTATCCTATGACTGCCACTCCTTTTGCAAGGCATCAAATTTGTTCTTAAATTGGATTTTCATATAAACTCTCCCAGTCTTTGCAGTGAAACTGTCTCCAAAACTTGCCCAAGCAGGCTTTGTCAAGCTAGTTCCTTTTCTTCCCCTTTTTTCAACTTTCTCAATGCACAAGTCAATAATGACCTTTGTGGTTCTTATATCCCACAAAGCTTTGACCTTATCTTTACTCATTATGCCATAGACGAATTACAACACTTCAGTTATCACAAGTTCAACCCAAAAAGCATGCCATTCAGTCTAGGAGATATGATATAATAGGTATAGTATTTAACAAGTATAGCTGCATGTTCTATGCCATTCATGTCAAGTTAATTGAAATACAACATTCAGGTCAAAATAACATATCCTCTGTCTCCAATAAACTGCGAATAATGACTTTCTTTTTTCCAGCAAAATGAGGTCTTATTAATAATGCAACAAGAAAGGCATGTTTAATATCAAAAGAAATAACACAAAAGCATAACTTAAAATACAAAGCAAAGAGACAAGCCAAGAATTTCGGTTAACCATTTCTAAGACATTAGAGAAAGAATAAAGTAACCTAGTAATCAAATGTGCTAGACGGATAAATAAATCTCCATACATTCCATTTGCTATAAGCTTCACAGTAGCACTTCATAAACTGGCCAAGAACCAGTCAAGACAAGTTCTGGAAAGACTTTAAATGATACCATACTTAATTCCAAAAAGTCCACAAAAGATACTTCTCATATAAAATGAAAGATGTTTTATTCTCAATTAGAAACTCGAAATACTACAGGTAAAACATATATCTCTCTAAGGATACTCAAATTCAGAATGAAAATATTTTAGGACAGAAATCAATCTAATTGACTGCTTGTTCCATAAAAGATCCATGATCATTATTCCAAACGAAGATAGGAAACCTTCACTGTATTTAGACCACACTCTCTCAGCTAATTCCTTGAATAAATAAGGTTCCTTCCAATATGGCTCCTAACCATGCAAGTGATTTGTAATTGAATTTAACTCTCCATAACCTTCATGAAAACCTCAAAAGCCTCAATATGAATATTCATATATCAAACCTGCCTATCAATTTGTCAAAAGATAAATTTTCCACTTGAAAAATCTAGGCTTCCAGTTGTCCTAGCACCTTTTGATCATCAATGATAAGCTTGATCAGTTGTGCAGATAGAGTACATTCAACAAAACAACCCCAAATATAGTCCCTTATCACTTCATGCCTAAGCAAGAGAAGGTCTAGCCAATTCTCAATACAAGAACATATTATATCTTACTCCAGGACCCAAATAAACAACCTAACCTACACAGTATACATTAAATAACCTAGGTCATAGCGCTTGTTGATCTCAAACAAAAACAAACAAAAACTAAAAAGGTTTAATGGACCAAGAGTAGGGTGAAGACAGAAAAAGAAATATTCAACTTCATAATTATATAAACAGCCTACCATGAGCTCATAAATGGAGAAGCCCCTCAGAATGAAAAAGAGTATTCGAGTGTTCTGTCTCCAAAAGCACAATCACAAAACGTTCATAAGATCAAAAAATAAGAACAATTTGAGCAACACAAGCACCCACAACCAAAAAAGAATGCTCTGTCTCTGAAACCCAGATTTCATCAACAAATTACCGTGAAACAAAGCTACACGAAAATTTGAAAATAACACAGATCTCCAGCCGCAACAAGAATTTGAAAACAAAACACATCTCTAGCCACAACCAAGATTTTTCCCATATTCGTATACATACACACACGAATGCTCTGTCTCTTATTCTCCTTTGATCAATAGATTACCATGAAACAAAAGCATCTAACAAAATCAAATGGTGTTAACTAAGCAAGCAACATATGAAGATGGGAGGAAAAAAAATAGAAGCCAATAGAAGTGAACATACCATGGTCAACCGGTGAAACCAACCTCTATTTGAAATAAAAAAACGACGGTGGGAGGAAATTTGAAAACACACCAAATACTTCGTCTCCAGCCACAACCAGCCACGAAGAAATGAAGAGCAACACAAACAAAAATAGATTTTTAAATCTGTGATGCACAGATGTTGAATGAAGATGAGGGATCAAACCACAAGCAAGGAAAATGGACAGATCGATGCAATGCATGAATGAAGAAAATGATTATTAAGAGGAGATAGCTTACCTAAAACGCTAGATCTAATTGACAGGACCAAACACGACGACCTAAGCAACTGATGATCGGACGAACTGAACACTGAAGATATCAGAAATCTGTGGATGGATCTGCAACCCAATGTGCGATCTTCTTTTGGCAAGCTGAGTAACCTTACCAGCACCGAAATTCGCAGGCTCAATGTTCTCACTGGTGGCAAGAAGATCTGTCGAGTTTCAGAAGGGGTGATGGCAAAGGAATGATATGCGAGTGTGTTCTTGGTGAAAATCCACTGTTGGTAGAGTGTGTTCTTGGTTTTTCACCATTGGGAGCCCAAAATGTAACATCCCATTTTATTTATTTATTTTATTTGTTTGGGGACTTAGTACGGGTAGTGTTATATATAAAAATTATTATAAAATAAAAGAGAAGGGAAACAATGTATTTATATGTAAAGGTTAAATAGAAAATAAGAGTCTGAAATAATTAAAGAGAGCTATGTATAAATATTTAAAGATAAATAAAAAGGGGATCAAATATTTAAAAATATATATTTAGGAAAGAATGATTTAAATTTTAAATGTACCATATCTGATAGGATTTTGATAATAATAAGAATAATAAGTTAAGATCAGATAAGAGGATGGAGTTTAAATTTTATAAATTCTACAAATACCCAAGAACCTAGTTTCTATCTCATTGGTGGCTGCCGCAACACAAACCTAAACGCTCTGTAGGTACCTTCTCCTTTGTCCTTCCCTTTCTTTTGTATTTCTTCTCTTATGTATTCCATCCTTTTGAGCCAAACCATCAGTCTGCTTGTCTCTTGTTCTATTTCTCTATTTTTTTCCACAGCAATCTTGACCAACCTTCCTTGTTCTTTCTACAATCGACAAATCACAGGCGTTGTCTTCTCTCAAAGGTATATAAACATATATTATTTCCTCTCTCACACACTCCTTATATATATATGTACACACATGTGAGCGCATATCCCCACCGCTTCCTCTCTTTCTTTTCTACAATCTTCCCACCTTCAATATGTGTTCGGTTATGTGTCGATCACTAGATACCCGTCCAATCATCAAGTTGTAGCCATATATATATATATATGTGTGTGTGTGTAGATAATTTAGTATTACATGAATGAAGTAAAACACTCATGGCGTGAGCTATGATCAAAAGGATGGAGTTCGGTAGAGTTTTCGGGGCTATATATCTATGTTTATATATATATATGAATGTTTAGAATAATTTAGTTACCTTGCCTATTTTACGTTTCAAACTTAGAATGTGAACAAATAGAATAAAACACATAACTAATGATTTTGGATTAGAGATAACTTACTCCTTTTCAGCTAGTCATTGTTTCTCTCTCCAATACATATATGTACATATACATGATATTTTCGTCTCTCAATAATTTTATATCTCCTGTAGGAAAAATATATATAATAATAATAGATTTGAGTAGATTATATACAAGATCATCTCTTGTCCTATAATTGATTTAAAAGAAGAAAATCTATAATAGATAATTAAATAGGTATAAATTATCCACAGGTTTTACTAAATATATTTCAAAATCTATACCTATTTAGTTATGAAAATAATCATTATCAATATACAACATCAATCTAGTTTATAAGCAAAAATCTGAAGGTTTGGAAAGTTCTAAAAGAATTCAAGACCTTCATATAATTTACTATTATAGTGAACTAATTAAATTAGGAAGCAATATGAATTTAAAAGAAGATTTATATTTCCAGCGATAAATTATAAGACATTGGGATAACTTTGGAGAAACTTTGGTACAGGTCTAGGATAGACTTTTAATAGTTCTGAGCTATAGATATTAATATTATCGTATGTATGTGATTTTTGTAGCCTCTCACGGAGAGCCTTGGTTGTTGAAATTTCTATTTAACTACTTGTGGCTAGAGAATAACAGGTAATGTGGATTTCTACCTACTTTACTTGCTAGTGACTCCTATGAGTCCTTTAGGAATATGGAATCTTTGGAGACATGTCTTTATCGTTTTGAGAAAAGATTTGCTAGGAATCATGAAAAATTCTTCTGGAGCCAAAAACCAGCCTTGTGAGATGATTTTCTTTTATTTTGCAAATGACCCATAGTTGAGTCTTACTATATCATAATTAGTTTTCTTGGTTGTTTTTGATGCATGCTAGGTTATATGTCGTAATGCTACATATTGTGATCCTTGAGATCTGATCCTATGAACTACTATACTATATGCCATTGTTGTGATATTTTATGATTATAAAATTAATTGTGGAAAATAAATATGGTGGAGGATTGATGGGATATGGTGTGACATTGTGACCACGTGGTAGGCCGCTATATGGCGCTCTATGGCTGGCCCATACTACCAGGGCAGTAACCCTTGGCTTGCGACACTCCAGAGGTATCCTGGGCAGTAACCCCTTTCTGGAGGAACCCATGGCCCTTGTGTGCTTTGTCGACTTTGGCCGGTCTGCATCACACTTGTGGAAAGCTTGCGAGAGTCAGTTATGACGTGGGTAGCAATTAGCCCATAGGTTCAGTCGGCAGTTATGAGGAGGTTATAAGGTGGAACTGGAAAGTTAATATATTATGATAATATGACAATTATGATGTATTTTATTTAATTCGAATATGATGATACAATGTGATCTTAAATGATATGCTTATTGCTTGCTATCCATATGCTGTTAGTAACTATTGATTTTGAACTGTTAGTCATACCTGGCATCTTGTAAGGGTACTAGTAGGTAAGGTGGGTAGGATTTATGTTACTGAGACTGTGGTCTCATTCCGTTACTTCATCAATTTTAGGTGAGAGCAGCAGGGGAGATGCAGCGAGGAAGGCACTGTAAGCGTGAGGTCACTTACACTAGTGACTGCGCTTCGATTCTAGAATTTATGTTTGGTTTATGTTTAATTGCCACCTAGAAGCCATGATGTTCTTTAGACTATTAGTGGCTTATTTTGGACTTGTTATTACTACTAGACTGTTTTGCTTCTTTAGCTATGGATACTTGTATTGATTTCTCTAAGGGCCTTAGACCCACAGCTGAACATTGCGGCAATTGCATCTGAATAAGTGGGTCATTTAGTGATGCTTTTCTTGTGATTTATTTTATATAATGTCTATGATAACCAGGTATATGGGATATTACAATTAGGCGAAGAAGAAGTAAGTATGATATTTTCTTTTTATAACCATGATATGTGCTTGGGTAGGGTATTTCTTTTTATATATCATGGTTATTCAGCGAACTGAAAAGAAAGTTAGGATTCTTCTTTTATGTACCTTAGTAAACATACGCATGTGCTACTTGTATATTTAAGTATGGCATAGTTTTATGTGGGATATTACAAGAAACACCTCACCAGCACCGAAATTCCTGAGGGGTAAACAATCTCACCGGTGGCAAGAAATTTTTAGAATTTCAGAAGGGGCGACAACATTGGAAGAATGGGTAGAATAGTAGAAGAGGCAAAGTAATTTTCGTGCATTTTCACTGTTGGAGCCTCTGACAGGAGTAATTATTACTCCAACGACCATATTTTCATTCTTCGGAGGCGAGAATTTTCAACTTATTCAAAAACCATGGTTTGGCTGGCCAAAACCAACGTTTTTGCTGAAACTATGGTTTTTTTTTTTTAAAAAAAGGTGTTTGGCAATCAGCCTCCCTAAACCATGGTTTTGAGCCCAGAAGCACTTTTGGAGCAATTACCAAACACCCCCCCTCAGTTTTGAATCAGAGGATGCTACTCATAGGTGAAAAGTTTATTCCTAAATATTTTTTTGCCAACATTTAGTCTTAAATATAAGTCGCTTGTAGGGTAATTTATGACTTTTTATCTTTTGATTTTATCCTTATTGAATACAATAAAGAAAATAGATAAGAGAAAATGTACAACATATTCTTTAGCATGCGAGAATGAGGTAAAAGTGATTTACGTAAAGGAATAGAGTGGTAATTCGAAATTCCAAAACTTAAGGGCTTGTTGGTTTCTTGTTTTGAGAACAATTTTTTGTTTTAAAAAATAAAATAAAAAAATTCTCTCATAATTTATTTTCAGACGATATGACTTAACAAGTTTATCAATTTTATCAATAGTATGTTTTTTATTTTCTATTCTCAAAACTTATATTAAAAAATCTATTTTATAAAAGTATTCTGAAAACAAGAAACCAAAAACAAAACAAACAAGCACTAAAAGCTCCAAACAAGCCTATTTGTTTGTGCACGGCTTTTTAACCAAAATGCTACAAACAGTAAAATGCTACAAACAGTAAAATCATAACCAAAATACTGCACTTTTAAAGTATTTACTAATATATTACACTTAAAATCATTTCTTGGCATAAACGACTTCAAAAGTTGCTCTTGGTGCGAATGATTTTACTTTTTTCCTATCATGCAAGAATCTTTGCCAATTTAAATAATATAAGTTTAAAAGATTTTATAAATTATTTAAATTTATATTTCAAAACTTTTAAACACTTCTTTATTACAAATATTTATAAACATATCTAGTTAAATATATATTTATTAAAAAAATTTAGTTAAAGTTTTAATCAAATATTTTATGTTTGCTTTAACTGAATGAAATTAATGTAACTATAAAAATATAATTTAGGAATTTATTAGAATCAAAAGTAAACTAGTAAATAAATTTTATTTTAATATAAATTTTAGTTAAAAATAATATTTTTAGAATCTTTTTAGAATACCCCTACTAATAGTGTTAACTAATTGGACTAAACTGTGTGTTTTTAAAATAGAGGGAAGATCTATGTAATTGATGCAATCTAGAAGAATAGTCAGAGTATTTTACTCTTGATGCAAAACACTCATATCATGACATATCATCACCAATTAAAAAATGCGGCATAGCAGATAGCATGAAAAAAGCAAAATAAAAAAAAAAGAAATTATGAGTGCCCTTCATTCACTTCAATTTTTCATTACTTACATCTTAAAACAATATAACATATGATAGTTTTACTGTCAAAATAAGAGGCACCTAATTTAGAAAGAGTACAAATATTCTAGATTGTTGAACCCACGACTCATGTCCTAAAAATTAGAATAATGAAATATTAACTCATCAAGGGTAGTATGGATGAAAAGTCAAATTCTATATCATAGCTGCAAATTTTTTAAAAGAAAAAATAGAAGAGAAACAACAAACCCACATCAGCAGTAAAAGAGCTTGTCAAGTTTTTGGAAGCAAGAGTGAAAAAATAACAGAGCAAAAAAATAATGAAAATGGAGCAAGTGAGAAGAAGAAGAGAGAGCTCAGATTTTAGAGACTTAGTAAGAGGAGAAGAAGAAGAGAAAGCAATATGTTATATATAAAACCATATATGATGTTGTGGCCTCACAGGAAGGGAATGGGATTCTCGCGTGCATAGTGTCAGAGATTCTTGCATGCAAAATTGGCAGAGATTCTCACATGGGGAGTGACTAGGAAAAAAGTAAAATCGTTCTTGGCGTGAATGATTTTACTTTTTTATTTAAAAAAATTCAAAAAGTAAAATCATTCATGTCAAGAACGACTTTTGAAGTCGTTGATGCCAAAAATAACTTCTGTGTAATTTGAAAGTCATTCTTCCCAAGAATGATTTTAAGTGTAGTATTTTGATATATAATTTTACTGTTTATAGCATATTGGTAAAAAAAGCCATTTGTGCACAATTAGCTGTAAGTTTAATATCCATTATAATTCTTGTGAGTCAGTATTGAGATTTAAGTTATAATACTTTTGGTCTTTAATATCAGAGTTAGTTGGTTAATTTGAATAGATTAAAAAAATTAGTTAAATTAGTTATTTGTAATAAATAGGTGTTGTCCTTACTAATCGTGTATATTAGCTAGAATTATCATGTAATGAAATTTTCAACATGTGTAACTACTACAAGAATTATTTTAAAAATAGATAAATATAAAAGATAAATTTGATTATAATTTTATATTCAAAATCAAATTAAAAATTAAACTAGCTCTTATATTAAGGGTTAAACTAGCTCTTATATTAAGTATGATGTAACTGTCCTGAGCGACTAACCCGTAACTCGAACTGGCCCGCGTCCAGTGAAAGTTTGCCCCGCCCAAAACATCCCATAATGGGCTTAAATTAAACAGGCGGGTCGAAGAAATAAACGGCTACGGGGCAGCCCGCCCGTGCAATAGTCTATGTGTGTATATATGTTTTAAATTTTTTCTATGTTCTCAACCAAACTCTTCCACTCTTGCTCTCCTAATTCCATCTCAGCTTCTCTTCGTTGGTGCCACTCCTCCCCTGACCTAGCACTGGCAGCGACGACGGCCGACCAGCGAGAGAAGGGAAGAAGCTCACACCTCATCACAGGCCACGTCGTCGGGCCGTCACACCTCCTCAGCCACAGCGTCCAGCAGTCACGGCGTCCCCGATCTAATCTCTTCTACTCCTCAGGCCTCATCTAGCTCGTGGCTCGTGAAGCTCGTCGCTCATTCAAGGAGCTTCAAGCTTGTTCCAACGTTGGGCGTGGGTGCTGTTATAGTTCCTCTTTGGCGAGGTAAGCGTCCTGTTCCTCTATTCTACTGAGGGAGTGGAATTTCTGGGACCTTAATTTTTTCAATGTTTGGGAATAGAGTGCTTGGTTTCTGAATTTCTCAAATTTCTGTTTGGATAGCTTTTATTCTCGGACTTAATAGTTCTCTCAAGTCTCAACCATCTTCACGAGTTCTGCATTACCCAAGCATGTAAGAGAGAGGCGAGTGAACCCGTCTTCAATGCATTTGTGCTTGGTCCCTGTTCCTCTTTCGATTTTTGCTTATTTCCAGAGCATTTGAACCATTTGTATTTGTGTTTTTGTTTTGTTTTGTTTTGTTTTTTTAAATTTTCGATGTACCGAAGCAAGAGTAAAAGAGTTTAATAATGAAACTATTTTCCAAGTTGTTGTTGAATGACTGGTTGTATCTTAAAGCGTGAATAGATGCTTATTTTGACGTTGATGCTTACTCATATTTATCATAAGCTAGATTCAATTATACTTGCAGCTATAAGGTTCAATTTGAACTGTTTTTATTTCTGACATGTTTGTGCTTATCATAATAATTTGAATGAGGTGGTGGGTCTGACGGAGTTGATCTTTTGTGTAATGCAAAAAACTAAGTATAAAGCAATCAGTTGCAACGATAGGGAATGAGTCAGTTTTTTTCCCCAAAAACATGAAAAAAACTAAACTGGCTGCCCATGCCCATTTAAGCCCACACGGATTTCACCCGGCCCCTTTACTACGGGCTTAAACAGGCATGGGCTAACCTTTTATCATTAATAATTTAGCAGTTCCTGCATCATAATTTTATCAAGTAAACATCGCTAGGTGTGATACATGATAAAATTAATCAACAAATAGATAAGCCAGTCTGGCAATAAGCGTCCGCTTATTTTTGGAAATTGACAGTTTTTAAACAAAAGATCTTAACATTTGGACTTGCCTTTCTGACGGAAAATCTGCTTAATATTAATTTCAACACTTCCAGGATGGAGGTTGTTTTGGCAGCATCTTCTGTTGATGCCGATGTTGGCTGCTGGGACCTTCATTCAGGGGCTGAGCAGCTGCGCTATAAAACTTGTGCCTCCACACCTCATGGCCTCACTAGTGTGGGCAGTCGCTTCCTTGCATCTTCCCAGATCCGAGATTCCTCTGCCAATGCTGGTCTGGTTCTCTATTGGTCTTGGTCCAAGGTCTTTCTTCTTTATTGCATTTCATACATTTCAAGTTGTTTGAAACTTTTCCTTCTTTTTTTTTTTTAAATAATAATAATCTGATTTTTACCAATGTATTTATTTGGATGACTAATAGTGATTAACATGTCATTGCCTATGGCTCAGCCTCAAGTAGAAGCCAAGAGCTTTCCAGCTGAGCCAATCAGGCCTCTTGCTGCTAATCATCCAGGCACTTATATAGCTGGTGGAGGTTTATCGGGTGATATATACTTTTGGGAGGTATAGTAACTCTTTGATGAGACCTCATATAGTAAATGTCTTCTGGAATTAGGTGGGGAAGATATGGATTGAAAATGAAAATTCAGTTTCTGTTGCTTTTTAACTTTATTGACATCATGTTTTGTTTTTCAGGTTGAAACTGGCAGGTTGCTTAAGAAGTGGCATGCTCATTATAGGGCTGTAACTTGCCTAGTATTTTCTGAGGATGACTCACTACTAGTATCTGGTTCAGAAGATGGATGTGTACGAGTTTGGTCCTTGTTCACGTACGTAATTCTCATCTTTCCTCTCCATTTTCTCCATTTTTGCATTTTCTATGAGTAATTTTGTCATATATTCCACTTTCAGGATATTTGATGATTTGAAAAGGCAGGAAGCAGGTAATCGTTATGAGCATAGTTTTTCAGAGCACACCTTACCAGTAACTGACATTGTAATTGGCTATGGAGGATGTAGTGCAATTATAATTTCTGCTGCAGAGGATAGGACCTGTAAGGTTTGGTTTGCTTTTTTTCAATTTTGTTGTCTTTTTTAGGGTATCAAGTTAGTTAAGTAATAAGATGTATCAAATTAGGAAAAATATTTATTCTCTGCAGCTTGAATGACCAAGATCCTCCTCTTTTGAAACTTTATTCTCTGCAGCTTGAATGACCAAGATCCTTCTCTTTTGAAACTTTATTATGTATTTCTTGAGGTTTTGCATGCTTAGGAGTTATAATTCATAATTTTCACGTGCCAAAGCAAGAAATGCTTCATAATATAGGGTGACTTGTTCTGAAAGCTCGCAAAATAATCCTCTACTGTCTCAAATTAAAGGTTATGAGGGTCTGTGTTATTACTCATTTAAAGTGGATGGACTCTAATTTGCTCTGTTAGACCTGTGTCCGTTGTTCTCTATATTTAACAAAATTGATATTGAGGCCATTTCATTGTATATATTTGGTTTCTTTGTTGTTTGGTGTGTTCTCACATTAATTGGCTGTGACTTCTTGGCGTCTATGTTTTTCTCTTAAATATTGTTTTCTGATATAGCAGTGCTGTCATTTTGATTCGAGTATTTATTTATTTATTTTGGTAAGGTTTGGAGCTTATCTCGAGGAACACTACTAAGAAATATAGTATTCCCTTCAATAATTGATGCAATTGCATTGGATCCTGCTGAACACGTCTTTTATGCTGGCAGTAGAGATGGAAAAATATTTATTGCCGCACTTAACACTGAAAAGATCTTTAGTCATAATCATGAGATGCATATCCTCGGTTCATTCTCTAATCACAGGTTAGTTCTTCTCTTCTAAGCACACATATTTTGAAACATTGACCTTGCTATTAGTGCTTTACTCGTATTTTCTCCTTCATGCTCTCAACCCTTCACGTTTGCCTTACTTTTGGTAGTTTGTTTTCTATTTGCCATGATATTTTTCCTCATGTAAATCATGGTGAAGCATTTGCAAACTTGTCTCGTCTGCACACGTGCTTCATGATTGGGCTGAAATTTAGGTTTTTCCTTAGGTTGGTGCTCAAATTGCTAGGAGCACCTTCTTTGAGCCTATATTTGATAATTTAGTTGGCCAGAGTCAGTGATGTACTCTTTTCCATTGCAAAAAATTTGTACATTGGCTTCTGACAGGGCATGGTAGTTTGACTTCTTCACCAGTGGACAGTGTATAGCCTGTTAGTTCAACATGATGAGTATGCCTGATTATTGACATTAGATTTTATTTATCTTGAATTCCTTATCATGGATCTTATTCGTGACGTGTTAGAACCTATAACAAAACAAGTCATGCCCCTTAGCTTGGAAGTTTGAGTTTTTCATTAAAATAGTTTATTAACATGGTATCATAGCCTCTGTGATCTATGCAATCAGAAGTATGATCCTTGCTGTTCCTATGATCATTGAATTAAAATTCCTGTGCAAATTACGGTGTCTTTGCTTTGTCCATGAGTCTAAAGGCTTACGCATGATGGTGTATGACAGATAGTGATAGAATCAATCCTGGATCTTCACTTAACGCATTAGAATCAAGCTAAATAGTCGTTGATTTTGAACAAACATGTGCTTGGTCTATTAACCTGCTTTTTCCCCTTCCTTCAACAGCAAAGCAGTTACTTGCTTAACATATAGTGCAAGTGAGAATTTGTTAATCTCTGGATCAGAAGACGGAATGGTTCGGGTTTGGAATGCAAAAACACATAATTTTGTCCGCATGTTCAAACATGCAAAAGGTTAGTGTTCAATACATTTTAGTTATGATATTTTCTCGTCTATCATATACTGCTATATACAGAATAAGCTCATGACTTTTTCGATCGCTGTATGTATTGGAACTCAATGATAAATATAAGTCTTGATACATGTGATGCAAGAGTGCATGTGACATTTTGCACTGTGTGGGAATCAAACAATGTCAATTTTGATGTTAATCTGCTGGGAATATTGCAGGGCCTGTGAATAATATTGTCGTTGTTAGAAAAGAGCTTGACTCAAGCAAGCATATGTCTTCAACTTTACAATCGGGCTCAAGAAAGCAGGGATCTTTAGTACCACCTCCATTGGAGAAATACACAAATGAAGATTCAGAAGTTCAGACCATTGTTAGCCTTCACGATGACAGGAGCGATACGGATGTTTCATACATGTCTTGTCGGGCCATATTTAATCAAATCAAGGAATTTCAGGTTTGTTGCGCATCGATATATTCTCGTCATTTGGCAATTTTTTTTATTTATTTTGGGGTAAAATACCGGCATTTAATTTTCTAACTTGGATAAGATCTCTGTCTTTAACCGTTTAAACCAGAATCGGGGCTCCTCTGCCTCTGAAATGGAGATGGAGAGGCTAAAAGCAGATCACAAGAGGTCCGCCCAGATGGTTGACCGATTTAAGAAAATGTATGAAGATTTGCAAGACTTCTATGAGGACGACTTCCTGAGAAGTGGTCAAACAAAACCTGGCAACTAGATCGCTTTATTTTCTTGCTTGCCCTGCTCAAATTTACCCTTCCGAAGTAGTTTTTTTTTTAACGAGACGTATAAATTTTAACCCTCGAGGCTTGGGTTGTATTTATTTATTTATTTTAAAGTTCTTTCAAAAATATGAAATTATTAAATACAAACGTAACACGAGCACAAATATCCCCGTGTTTGAGAGAGAGAAAGGGGGAGAGGGTGTTTGTATGTCTTCCAAGTTCTAATGAGAAAGCAGCAATCTACAACTGAATGCCTGGTTTAATTGGGAAGGGAGCTATGTCAGTTTAACCATATGTCTCAGGAGTTCGAATATGAGGATGCAGCAGTGTTAGCGTTAGTGGCAGAGCTTCTCACCCAAAAGAATTCCAACCTCCCTCGTTAAAATCCGAGTTAGTTTGGCCTCAATGAAAGTCCCTGGATATGAAACAATCTCTGGACGCCGAATAGCCTTGGTTTTAAAACAACTGTTTTACTATACAAGATAAAAACGAATACTCATTTAGTGAAGATTGTCGCTGTTCCTATTGGATATCTTGTTTATTTTTTTTTGGTTGTTACTAAGTATAGGTATTTTTCTATTCGTATTAGAGCTAATTTTGTTTGAAATGCTATCAAGGCACTAATTATAGTTATATTTTTTAGTGGAATTTTAATCTTAGCCACATTATAAGGCAACAGTTTTTTGTTTTTTTTTTGCCGGAACCAATTCTCATTGGACTATATATTTTTTATTGATCATAGCGTTCTGTTAGTTTGCATTATTGAGCTTGTATTAGAAGAATATTTCATCAACTAACGAATCATTAAATTGATATATTTATTGAGGCCCAGTTTCTAGGGCGAATTATTGAAGCCCATTTTAATGACCAACCATATCCATATTACTCATTTCATTTATTCCCTTGTTTTTACCTAAAATCTAATGATAAATCACTTTCCCTTTCGAGAAAAAGATCTAAATTACATAATTTTTACTTTTATTTTAAAATTTAACTTTTCCTGAAATTGAAAAATATGATGCTGGTTCCCGAAAGGGGAGCTGTGAATCATATATGGAGTACTATTTATATAACATAGGAAGGATTGCAAATGCCTGCATTAAAAATTCGAATAGTTGAACAATTAATCAATTTTTAACTTTGATATTAAATGTCATTTTGATGAAGAAATTATTTGAAAAAATGACACAAAAAGAATTTATATTATTTTCAACAGTCAGAATGCAGTGACCTAGCTGAAATAAAGAAAAAAAATTTACACGGCATTTTTATCTAATTTTAAGATTTTTATTATGATTTTTCTATTAACTTACGTACTTTTTTATTAATTTTAATTTTAAAAATTATTTTTATTTGTACTTTCATATTTTGGAAAAAAATATTATTTTTATATCATCTGTGTATTTTGGAATATAATACTTGTATAGCTAGGTTAATGTATGTCATGCTAGATATGAAATGAAAATCACACTAAGTTGTATAGTTCAGTAGCTATACAGAAGCACTGGTTGAAAAAAGAAAAAAAGAAAAAAAAGAAGCTATATAGAAGGGAGGGATACCTGATTTTTAAAAAAATTAAAAATAATTTATTTACAAATGTATAATCTTACAACAAAAATAAATATCATTAAAATAAACTTGAAATATTTTAGTAAGCTTTACTTTTTGTGATCAGAAAAGAATTTATATGCATGTCTTTTACAGTAGAAAAAAAATAGTACAATAATTTAAACATACATTGAGGAATAAGAAATTAAGTTACACAAAAATTAATTATGAAAATTGCTTAGATTTGCTAAGTTGAAGAATGTAATTGGTCAGAATCAAAGAAAACAACTCGCCCATAGCATTATTTTGAAGAAGTTGACAAGATTTAACTTAATTTGTTATGTTATGAAAAAGGTAGACATTCTGTATGGGGACGCCCCAACATCAATGATCAATGAGTTTTTATTTATAAAAAGAAGCAAAAAAAATTACAATTGAGGATCTCAACTAAACAATATTTACAATGAAGAATATTTTAAATTAAAATGATCTTAAAGTGGTCAAACCCAAAATTTAATTTACTTTTTTTGAACCATTTTATTACTATGAAAGAATTTAAAAATTTAGAGCTTTATGTACTTTTCCAGTCTTTAATATATGACCTAATTGTTAAGTTAATTTTCGTCCTAAATATAAGACCTATTTCTTATATTTATCAATTTTTTTCTAAATTATCATATGGATACTCCATCAACCATAATCAAGTAAGTGAGAGAGGGAGGATATTAAGAAAGATGATTATAGTATTTTAGGAAAACTATGTCATATTTCTTATAATTAACTAGCTTACCTAACTTCTTTAATCTAATCAAATTAGTTAAATAAGTCTTATATTAAGGACTGGAGGAGTATAAGCAATGTTTTCATATCCACGCCGGAGCATTGAATTGGTCAAGACACCGGTTAATTGGATCATGATCACAGTGAGTTACATCGATGCAATGGTTGTGCTTAATATAAAAGCTATATAACTAATTTAAAGAGATTAAATAAATTAATTAAGTTAATTATTTGTAACAAATATGTGTTGATTCCTAAATTATTCCATTTAATACTACCTCTTGGTCAAAACCACTAACAATCAATAAAGGATATTTTGGATAAAACATTGTAAATTTGGAAGACAAAGTGGATTGAGCTCTTATTTAATTAGGACTAAATTCAACCCCTCAACTAGCTCTTACATTTTTAGTAACATGGGTAGTAATATTTTTCAAATAATGCATATGCAGAAAATAATTTAAACAGTGTTTATTCATATACATGTTACCCAAATATGTCTTATAATATCTATGCACATGAGTCTCATAAGTGCCCAACTTAAATATTATATATTGTCTATTACAAATAACCAAAATGATCAAGTATGTCAAATTAATTGTTAGTTATTGAAGTGAGAAAAATGAAATATAATGAATTAAAAGCGTTTAATTATTATTTTAACACCTGCGCTTGAAGCAGTTGATGTAAAAGCAAAACCATGTGACGTATGGATTCTGATCTATTAATCCAACAAATAATCATAATTTATGGAGAAAATCAACAAAGCTTTATAGTGTAAACAAAACTAATCGTATCCAGATTTCAGATCATCCCAATATTTAATTTCCATTATATATATATTTATGATGACATATTATTATATATATGTATACGCCTTCAGACTCGACCCTAATGATTGTCTGTGTTTCAAGCTGAGGATTCAATATCGGCCACAGATACAAAGAACCAAACCCTAATAATGGTGATCCCAGTCACTCTCAGCATGCCTCATTATTTTATTCTTAGAACTTAGGAGCCTGTCATTTCTTCAATCTTTCACACACACACACACACCCCACAAAATTTATATTAAAAAAGTTTCCTAGAAACTAAAGGACATTGAACGAACTTGATTTTATATATGCCCAATGTGTCTTCTGGAGGAATCTCAAATGTTTTTAATTATATGGAATCAGATTCTCCTCATGCTTTGGTATTTGATGTCCCATCATGGAGAGAATATATGCATATATATATTTGGGATTTGTTTGCCTTTCTCTTTTTTATTTTTTATTTTTCAAATCGGTTTGTCCACAAGTTTTGATGTGTTCATGTTCGTCAACATGTTTGCAACATCTTTCAACATGCCTGCCCACATTAATTCTAACTTTATTTTTTTATTATAATTTTTCTTTTGGGATAGTGAAACATGTGGCCAACTCTAGGCTCCACATGGTACCTTCCAAGTTTCACTACTTACCTTGTTTGATTTTGATCAAGAAAAGCCAACCCAGTTGGCTTGCATAAACTTAAGTTGGTGTCAACTTAAGTTAGTTATTTCTCATGTAAAATATCAAAATTATTCTCAATAAAAGCATTAATTAGAATAGTTTGGTTATCTAGTTAGAGAATTTTATAGTTAGTTAGGTCATACTAGATGATAAAAGTTAATACTACTTTAGCAAAACATATTATATTATGAAATATGATGAGTCCTTTTAATAAGGACTTGATTAAATCTCTCTATAAAGCAAAAGGAGGTTTGCTTAAAATTGGTTAACCCTTCCAAGTTCAACTTTATTTCTTAACTCTTTGGAATGCTAAAACAAGGAAAATTGATTGGCAAAGATTGTTCCCACGTAATGTTTGTTAGAACATATGGAAGAGTATATGCAAAAGCTTAATTATACTCTAAAAAGGACACCTCCATGGGTGATCTTGCTTTCATTAGCACTCAGAATGTCATTGATGATCTCAAGCTTGAAGTAGGAATGGGACCCTTAACTACAAGTTAAGAGGCATCCAATCAAAAATGGTATCCGCATTCTATTTTTAGGAGTTTTTCCTCTTAATATTCTTTCTTATCTGATTTTCTCCTTATCCAAACATAGAGTTAATCTCTGTTAGGGCGGCAGACGTGACAAAGTCAATATCCATTGCAATTATTGTTGTGATATTTGTGTGGGTATGTCAAAGAAAAGATCCTAATAAGAAATGTGGGAAGATAAAAACAAACCGAGCATCAATCATGGACAGATTTTCTTATTGTTAGGAAAATCAAATGTTAAAGAGTTTTAATGTCATAAACAGATTTTCAATGCATTAGAGATTTAAAAGTGGCCCACTAAAATCCTAAATGAAAAAATCCTTTAATGCATTAAATCATTTAAATTGTTGAATGGATTTTATATTTTATAATTGTTTAATGCCTTGAAATGTTTGAAATCATGAACAACGCTTTTAACCATTTTAACTATAATACATTAAATGATTTGATTATGAAATTCTAAGCAGAATGCTTATGTGTTTGCCTCCAACGCCTCAGATTGTGCAATTTGACAATTTAATGGTTTCAACATTCAAAAACTGACTTTTTTTTTGTCATTAAGAGGCTAGCAACATTCAGATCACTGGGGTCAACACACACAGCTCTAGAGTTTTCGAGCTCTTCTTTTTTCCTGTCTGTATATTCTTCTACCT